ATCTCTCAAAGACAGAAATTCAGATAGGCCCCCTATAGATAGGGGACACATACACACATTGGACTGGGCTACCCAATCCGAGCCTGACGGGTCCCGATGGTAAGCCTACCCGACGGGTCGGGCTGGGTTCGGTCAAAAATGTATAAATTATATTTGGGCTCGGGTCGGATTCGGTCAGCTTTCAATGAAAATGTAGTGTAAAAATAAATAAAATCCTATTGTCTGTCCTGTTTATTGCTTGGGGACTGTTATTTACGTGACAACACCTGAACACAACACACACACATTGGCTGTTTGTTTCTACCTCTCCCCTCGCTGGAAGCCTCGGACCTCCCGCTCCCGTCTCAAACACAGAGGTCTCCCTCTCCGCAGCGGAGCACCCACTGCGCACGCCCGGCCTGTTAAATAGCCTGTAACCATAACAACTGTGTGACACAAACTCAGTGCTTTAGTAATTAAATAATGTAGGGCTCGGTTCGGTTTCGGACATAACAACACAGAATGACTGTCGGGTTCGGACAGAAATATGCGGACCGTGCCGCACTCTAACACACACACACACACACACACACACAAAAACAAGGAAATACGGACATTATCATCGATTTATAAATGCCCCGGACAGGACGTGAAAAGGGGATATGTCTGGGCAAAAGAGGACGTTTGGTCAGCCTAGTTACTGTGTTATTGTTTGTCATTCCCTGACTGCAAGTACACTGCTACATGTAGCTACATGCTAATGTCAGGGAAACATGAATTTCTCCCTGATTTTGGATCATATTCCTGCTGGAATATGCGCGGTTGTGTTTAGAAGTTTTTATTGGTGTGTTTCAGTGGAAGAAAGTGTTCTCCCTTACAGCCATTCCCTGACTGCAAGTACACTGCTGCATGTAGCTACATGCTAACGTCAGGGAATCAAGTAACCGTGGTCGCTTATGTTGTAATTTCTCCCCAATTTGGGATCATATTCTTGCTGGAATATGTGCGAGTGTGATGAATTTGGCTTTAGAACTTCTACTGGTGATTTCTCACCGAGAAAATGCCACAATTCTCTGTTATCTCCAGTCATTCCCTGGCTACCAGTACACTGCTACGTGTAGCTACATGTTAACGCCAGGGAAACCTGTAATCTTGGTTGCCGATGTTGTAAATTTCTCTCTGATTTCCGATCATATTCCTGCTAGAACAAGTGAAGATTTGCTTTAGAGGCTTTTATTCCTGATTTTTCAAGGTAGAAAGTGCCACTATTCTCAGCAGACCTGGAAACGCTGACCAATCAGAGCAGACAGGGCTTTTTTGGGAGGAGGCTATTAAGAGACGGGCACTGGACGGAGTGTCTCAGACGGAGGGTTAATTCAGGTGTTCCACACAGAGTGTTTTTGACCATTAAAGCATGTAAATACTAGGGATGCACCGAATATTCGGTAACCTAATATATTTGGCTGAATATTGCAAAAAAACACACATTCCGTATTCGGTGGAATAAGTTAAAAGCAAGGCCAAATAATAGTGGCGTGTTTTGATAACGCAATCAAACAGTGTGCCGTGACGGGCTGAGTAAAATGTAGGCAGTGTGGCGATCCGCCCGTCACGGCACTTGCATTTGCGACTAAAAATAGTTTTGAGCGAGCAAAATAGGCTTAAATCATTCAGCACGCTGTGCGAGCAGCCTACAGATTTCAAACACCAGCAGAAACGAAAGGCGAATCCCATCGGTTGTGGGTTGAACGGGGGTCACAGACACAGACAGTAACGTTAATGTATTCCTGTCAAATACAGCAGCCATCGGCTTACCGGCGACGGGAAGTCGGCTCCAATAATATCCTCTTCTTGGTGTCATGACTGCCCAGAAGTACCTGAACAGCCGAGCCAGCCGAACACAGACCGTACGTGATGTGTCAGAGGAGAAACGCCCGTTCACGGCCCACAAACATCACCGCACTTTGGGGACTGTTCTTTACTTATGAAGGGACTTGTCAGGGGAGGAGGGTGGCTGTTTGATTCTTATTTTATTTATTTATTTTATTTTGATCCCCCCTATCTTAATCACTGATTGATGCTGTTTTTGAAGTATGAATAAGTCAATAAGTAATTTATTCCATTGAAATATCATTGATGTATTATAGAAAAGTGATTTATCTTTTTATAAATGACAAAAGGCACATCTGCCTCATTTTCGCTGTGGTATCGTGATACTACTCAGAACCATGATATTTTCACTGGTATCATACAGTGGGATCCAATTTTGGTACCGTGACAACACTAATCTGGAGGGGGTTCATCTGCAAAAACTAATGAAAAACTAAACAACAATATTCGGTATTCGGTACTCGGTATTCGGCCAAGCATTTAATATTATTCGGCTTCGGCTTCGGCTTCGGCCACAAATTTTCATTTTGGTGCATCCCTAGTAAATATGTTAAAGTAGAAACCTTAAAGCCTGAAAATGAGCATAATAGGTCCTCTTTAATACATACAACTGCGCATATTTGAAATGTATTAGAAAGACAAGTGAGAATCAGGGATGCTCCAAGCCAATGTGCGGATTTTGTATCAAGCAGATCATGACATTTTCAAGCAGTTGTTATAGGTTGACACATAACTGCTAGCACTTTGAAATTTGTTTTCAAATATAAAGTGCGTTATAAATAAAATGCATTATTATTATTATTATTATTATTATTATTATTAATTGATATTCAACTACATGACTGACTCTCTTATATGGCTGCCCCAACAACATTAACATTACAAACTACAACCTCAGAAATTACCATTAGGTTGAATAAAAGTTTCTGTGACACAGACTTAAAAACAGAACATTAATAAAAGGTTTTCCTGTAATATATTGTTCTCTCCCTGCATTTCACACAGCCACGTTCCTTAAGTTTTTTAAGTGGCTAAGCAAAGAGCACACTTCTTCTTTCTTGCCGAGCTACACACCTGATCAGCAAAACTGGGTGATGTCGTTGCCGTGCTCTGCTGAGGCTGCAGAACAGAACAGGATGGATTGCTGTTTACAGGTTGCATACGTTACGCTTCTGTGAGAAATGTTTGCGTTTGTAATATGAGCTGTGTACAGACCGTGTGACCAGTATACCAGTGTGCTACAATACTGTGTATTACAAAGACAGTTGACCTTGAATAGATGTCCTATCCAGAGGTTTAACTTGCCTTTTGTATGATACTATAATACACACTTAAAGCTTAAAATAGAATATTTTTCCTACTGAGTAATACATTTTAATGTGATGATTAAAGCTGTAATCATGTTTTTCTCTTTGTATAACCTCCAAAAAGCAGCACAGAAAGAATCTGACTCCTGGGGTTTTACGCAACTCATCATCCCCACAGCTATTGGTCCCAGAGCTCCCAGATTGCTTCATTCTTGCTATCACTGTCCTCTGAGAGCAAACCTGATGTTTTAATATCTTTATTTTTTCAAGGGTGTTACTGCACATGCTTCTTTTTTTACACACATCTCTATGGCTGGCCACTGAGAATCCTCCTAATGGCTCACTCACTGGCACCTGCAACCTTACCATCATAAGTTTATTTTACCTAACTTATCTGGCTAATGCTGCTCCACACTATGACTCTGCTCCGTGTCCACTAGACCAAACAGTGTTTTGGGCAAAGCTGCTTCAGTTTCAGGCAGCGTGCCCCCATCTTCTGTTGGTCCTACTCAGCATCCAGTCTGTCAAATCAGACCACCTGCGCTTTGTGATTGTGCTGAGCGCTGGGAAATGCTTTTCTTTAGATTCGGCTGGGCCAGGTGGTGCTTCAGCACGAGTCCTCCACGTCATGTGGCACAGCAGTGATCTCTGACAAGACAATTAAGGCAAACAGGCATCACAGGACGGTGGGAGTTGGAACTGAATAGAAGCAGTAACTGTAAACTGAAAGCTAAGCATTTAGTAACTGTTGGAGCTGGACTCGAATCATTAAAACATTACTTCGGGCATTGCTTGTGAAGCCAGTACAGCTATTCTTTGTATTCCATACACAGTATTCTATATTAATGATAGTGGTGCTGCTGGAAGAGGAGCAGATAGAGAAGCAGATTTTAAGTTGCATGAATTTATTTCCAAACCTGAAAACCAGGGGTCTGAAAGGTCATGAGTGACACTCACTGCTCTCTCAGTAACTTGTGACAAAGCAAAAGTCTCCCTTTGAAAACATGCTGTTAAACTGTCATCATTTTAAAGTGTGTAGTTACATAGGAATGCAGTGTTCATGTTGAATAGCTGCTCATAGTTAAAGGATGGATTCCTAACTGATTGCTGTTTGTTGTTCACGTCACGTCACCCTGGGACTGATTTTTCATGTCCTCTTTCATATATTAGTCTGCACTGTTTTTGTTACGTTGCTGCTTTTTTATTTTGTTGACTCATCACATTTGTTGCAAGAGGTCTGTTAATTAGCTAAATATAAGCCGCCCAGTGTACATGATGTGATCGTATGACTTGTGGGACAGGAATTTTTTTAATTGGTCCAACATTGAGAGAGAGGGGTGTAGCCAGTAGAGTTGAAACAGGCTGCAGGGTCAGGTGGCTCCGTCAGTTTATATTCACTAACAGTGCTTGTTTTTGCCACTTAAAGGCTCAGATTACTATTATTATGAGTCTCTTAACAACATTACAAAAAGGATGCTACAGAGAAATGGAACACTTAACAGTACCTTTTGCTTGTTCCTTTCTGTTCTGTGTCTTTTCCACATTTTCAAAATTAGCTAAATATTCAGCTATGACATTGAAAATATTTGAAGATAGGGGTAAGATTCGCTTTCTGTACTTTGACACAAAAAACTATAACTGGCACTCCTTTCTCCAGCTTTCACTAACATTTCCACTGTTTTCTTCCTGCAACGAGCCACCTCTCGCAAGATTTCAGAACTTTGGAGAAATACCAGAGTTCCCCTTTAAGCTGTGTAGGTGAAGGCTGTGAAAAGTCAAAAGTTAATGTTAATCTTTGCTTTTTGTTTTCTTGTGTGTTTACAGGAAGAAGTCATTTCTCTTCTCTGCGCTCTACGTTGCCTTTATCCTCGGGGGCCGCCATGTCATGAAACAGAGGGAGAAGTTTGAGCTGCGGAAACCGCTGGTGCTATGGTCGCTCACGCTTGCTCTATTCAGGTGATAAAGCGCTAACATCATTAGTGCCAGCAGTAAATATCAGTTTTTAAATTACAAAGAGTAACCTTAATATTTCAAAATAAGGGTTAGGCATTCTAATCACTGGCCTACGTAGATGACTTTCTGTGATCAGTAAAAGTTTTGCCATTCATAAACATTTCTCTGGCTTTACTTTTCACAAAGCATTTCTTTTTAATTTATGTTGGTATGAACACGTTGTGTAATTACTTTGAAATCATAAAAATCTGAGGCTTCTCATTGTTACCTTATTTGTATAGTGTGCGTTTTCTATCCATAGTGCAGAGTGCATCTGTCACAACAGATATTATCAGCAACAGAGGGAAGTAGGTGATATGCCATAGCTCCTCTTTACACATCAAGTACATAGTAAATTTATCAGGGGCTTGATTTAAAAAAGAATGAGTGAAGGGTTGTTCCAAGGCATCAAAGAATGTGGTTTGATCCACATGGGATTCTGTCCAGGGTCAAGAAAAGAATAGATGGTTTGAATCAGATAAAAAAAGATGCATACTTTTATACATCATTTAAGCTTCTGCTGACCACACATTTTTTCTTGTCCTTGTCCTTGTAGTATATTTGGTGCCATCCGTACTGGGAGTTACATGATGTACATCCTGATGACAAAAGGGCTTAAACAGTCGGTTTGTGACCAGAGCTTTTACAACGGGCCTGTCAGCAAGTTCTGGGCATACGCCTTTGTACTTAGTAAAGCACCAGAACTGGGTAAGTCAAGACCGTCTTATGGCATGTGTCATATGGTCGTTGTGCTGGGTATAATATGCATTTAGAAAACAAAGATGTAAAGCACAGCAAAGGCATGTTAGTGAACAGCAGTTCCAGTTACTGAGTTGTCCACTGTTCTGTTGTCAGTTGTAGCGTAACCCAGTGTTAGACTAAACACATGCACAATAGGCAGATATAATTACAAACCATTTGTGCTGTCATCAAAACAGAGCTAGAACGGTGACAGCAAGTTTTGGCATCAAAATTAAATTTGGCAATGAAGAAAGAAACACTGACACTAAATAAAGCTCCATTGAAAAATAAAACACAGGCATTAAAAATTATTTTATTTTGATTATTTATTGCATTCTGATGTTTCACAGTGACAGTTTTTTTCTTGTCATTTTTTACAGTGTGAGGTTTTTTTTATGGTGAATTTTTTCCAACTTTTTTTTTTTTTTTAGTTTCAACTTTGTTACCGATTTGGTGTGGAGGGAGGGAGATTGAGGGGAGGGGCAGGGGGGCATGATTTACATATAATCTGCATTTGAAGGAGTTGGACTGTATATTGTTTATAAGATTAGGATACTAGTACCAATACCAGTACCCTTAAAGTGATACCGATACCAATAGAGTAGCTAATTTGATACCTGGTATGGATTGGCATGTAGTACAGCTGCACTTTTGAACATTTTGGTGGTATCTCGGCATGCTGATCTGCCATCTCCGTAAAAATGCACCGCACTCGATTTCACCACATCACAGACTGTATAAGTTGTAGCTGCTGCTGCAGGAGTGTGAGCTTCGTCATAGAGACAGTTGTGAGAATCTGTCCGGCAGCACACCCAGTGACAGGGCTAACTGTTGATGATAAGGACAGAGTAACACCATTTCAGTGTTGCTGCGAGTTTGTTGGGACAGTTGGCTTGGATGGATGTTAGCCGCTGTGCTAGCTCTGGCTAACTGGGCAGATGCTGACCTGATCATTTGCCAGAAGGAGAACAGCTCTGGCGATAGCTGCTATAGAAAGTGTGCTGATCTGGTGGGGAGTCGGTTGGTACTTTAAAGGTATCAGGTACCACTAAGGAGAGAATGTGACTCCTCTGTATTCACAGAACACTCCGGAGCCTGGCAGCACTGCACATCCAGCATACAGTAGTGTTTTCAATGAGTTCACTCCCAAAAAGCAAATATGTTTTGCCAATTTTTTTAGATGCCAAAACTTAGCGTCATTGTTCCAGCTCCATATACCAAGCTGTAACCTCACACATAACGTGCTCCTGTGCACTGTTTTGCCACATGCATAAATGCACACAGTGGACATATACAATAGTAAGGAAGGAGTGGCATTACTTGAAAATTTTGAATAATTTCAAATATATGTTTATAACTATACATGCTCTTCTCAAACTTACCCCAGTGTCTTGAACAACCCAACTTACACCCTTTGTCATACCTGCAGGTGACACTCTCTTCATCGTCCTGAGGAAACAGAAGCTGATCTTCCTCCACTGGTACCACCACATCACCGTGCTGCTCTACTCCTGGTACTCCTACAAAGACATGGTGGCTGGCGGCGGATGGTTCATGACCATGAACTACCTGGTGCACGCCGTCATGTACTCTTATTACGCCTTGCGGGCAGCCGGCTTCAAGGTGTCACGCAAGTTCGCCATGTTCATCACCCTGACCCAGATCACCCAGATGCTGATGGGCTGTGTGGTCAACTACCTGGTGTACTCGTGGATGCAGCAGGGCCAGGAGTGTCCATCCCACATGCAGAACATTGTGTGGTCTTCCCTCATGTACCTCAGCTACTTTGTGCTCTTTGTTCAGTTCTTCTTCGAGGCCTACATTGGCAAGTCCAAATTAGCGGCTGTCGCCAAGAAGGGCGACTAAACTAATGCCATATGTATGGGAAGAAGGGAGATAATGAAGAAAAAGGGAGATGGAAATGGAGAGCAGGGACCAGTGACTTGAGAGAATATGTTAGGGGTGAGGGTTGTTGGAATGAATGATGGGTGATGCAGAGGTGGCAGAGGCTTGGGGAGTGGAGGTGGTGTGGGGGTGGGGTGGGGTGGGAGGGTCAAGAGGATGGCTGGTGTTTGTGCTTGAGCATTACTAATGTGCAGATCTAAAATGCCTCAATGGATGTGACGTCTCCGTTGAGGGATGCTGAGGAAGCAGCGCCGCCATGATCAGAAGCCATCACGAAGTTGTACACCTGAAGTTTAAAAGCCCTTTTTTAAATTCATCATAAATAGTTTTTAAAAATCTAAAATATAAGAAAAGGACAAAGACATCGTATTTAATCAATACATCTGCCACGAGCATATGTTTACTTGATATTAAAAAATAAATTAATTGGTACATATGACGATGGATGGAGTCAACATTACCCTGAGCCATCTGAGTATGTTTTTGTCCGTTTGTTGTCAGTGTTTGTTGTTTTGTTTCGATTTGTCAAAGAAAAAGTTTGAAACACTGGAGAGTGTCGGTGGTTGATGTGAACTGATTGGGTGAACGGCACTGTATCTTCTGTGTCTTACATTGCAAAACGCGATATTTTCTCAGGTCTTAGGTTATCTTTCTTAATATAATATGCATATCAAGACAACGTAGACATGTTTAACATCAGCACCGGTTTACAGTATGGCTAAAATTCATCCAGTATGGCCGCACAGTTGAAAAAAAAGTATGAATGAAGCTGATTGAACTGACTGACTCAGATGATCACACTGCTCCTGGGCATGATGGGGAGACAGATGCTGACAGTGCCCTGCTTCACCACTTGTCATGACCTTGCAAGAAGTTGCCGACCACACTTGGAAAATGACTTGCCATTGATTTCCAAAAGCCTCTCTGTTGAAGGGTCCCTACCAGTGAAGAAAACTTGTCTGTTAGACACTGAAGGCTAAAATGGAGGACAAACATATTTATGTTTAGTAAAAGAAAAAAAAAAACATCAAACATGCAAATTGTCAAATCTGCTGTATTGACTCTGAAAAATAGTATGTATCCTTAATGGTGTCTGTTGTGCTATTGTGCATTTGCACTGTATCAATGTCAAAAAACAATTGTTGCTGAAAACCTTAATGTATGAACAAAGAGTGCAAAAATGTCACATGTGCCTGTGGTGTGTATTTTTGTGTCACATGCTACATCTTGGCATTGCACATACTTAGCATTTTTTGGTGCTAAACCTGAAAAGCCATTTTTGGGACTACATGGCAGATTTAGAAGCAGCAGTATTTTGAAAGGTTAGAGGGTGATTATCACTTTCAGGTATCCAGTTTACCTGTTGAGTAGTGTACTTGCGTGCATGTCAAACCTGATTCAGTGGATCTTATGTAGCAGTAATTACAACCCGTTGAGCTGCATACCTGCTATAAGCTCTTAAGCACATCAAGGATTCACTTTTTGGTTGCTTCAGTTAAGTGTTCACATCCACTGTAGAAGACCTCCCCCTAGAGGTGCAATTGCGCAAGTAAGCTTTATCTGAGACTACATCTGTGCAAAAACCTTTAAGTGGACGGATGCTTTACTTTGAGTTACTGCTTTAATGTTTGTTGAAGTTAACACATTGTTTTTTAATTCTTTCCTATGATTAATTGTTGGAGATATGCAGACGTACACCTTAAATCATTCTTGCTACAGTAGAGACCCCCCTTAGAGTGCAAACTTATATTCAAATAAAGAAAAAGTCAAACTTTGTACTTGTACTTAAGCAATGCAATTTATTTGTAGTTTACCAGGTAAACTATGCTTATTTTATCAAAGCCCATTGTGTTTCCTGGTTTAGCAGACGACTGCCTATATGATTCAAAATAAATACATGAATAAAATAAAGTGAAAATAAAAACAAAAAAGAAAAAGGAAGACAAAAAAACCCAAACAAAACATAGCAGCCAGCGGCGGATGTCTCTTCTCATGTGGAACTACAAATATACATCATTTCCGGCTACCGTTTTCAACGGTTGGAAAAGATTCACAACTGGTAAGTGAGTTAAAAGTCTTAATTTATGGAGCACCTGACAGGATTTTTTGTTCCGCTGGATAAAAGACTCGTTGGGGAACCTGACAATGGCTTCCAAAACTTCGGTAAGTGTTTTCAAACTAGCTGCGAGGTTGTTTAAGAGGTTGAATCGATCGTATTTTCCGGCTTAGCTAGCTAACGTTAGCTAACGGTAACTTAGCCCCACCTGTAACTTGAGAACCAATTACATCGTCAACAAACGTTTTAACCCTACCAAACTGTATTAACTCACATCTATATGGGTGATTGGAAGTGATTAGAATTGTAATAATGTTTATTATTTCAGTCTTATTTTGGCAAAGGTGATGGTGTGTAACGGCCAAAAACGTGGCTAATGCTAATGACGTTAGCTAACATTAGCTCGGTGGCGCCAATGTAGCCTATGCACAGCGAACTTGCATGTTGGGAAAGATTAACCTGATTTCCAAGTGCCAACAGGTGTACACAAAAATACTCAAAAAATACAAGCTCAGTATTACAGATAGGCTATAGTTAATCTTCATTACTGCTAATGCAACTTAGCATTTTACACTTTGTGTCGTGTTATTAGCATATGTAACGTTATGTATGTGTGTTATCCTTGATAAGTGAGTGAGATAAGAGTGCAACATCACTGGGACGTGTAACAGTAAAATCACTCCGCTCACAGGTGTTATAAATATAAATACAACCGTTAATTAACCAGCTGTCACACTCGGTACATTGACACAAACTGACCCTAGCGTTACACCAAGAAGATGGACATTTTGATGGACATCTGTAATTGTCTTCGGCACTTGGCCTGCGGCCTCGTGCCTATGACCGAATCACAGCCGTGACGATATACAATACAACATCACTCTCTCTCCTGTGGTATTGCTTAATCAAAATGTCTATTTGTGTCAAAGGTGTCTCAAGTCGAAGGTGTGTGAGTGTGTTGCAGGAACATAAGCAATGTCATAGTGTGATTTATGAGCAGTCTTACACAACAGCATTGTTGTCGTTAGCCTAGCGATGTTAGGTGGTTTGAAGCCTGTCCACCCAGTTAAAGAACCTGGCACTGATATGCATTCACAGATCTGTTTATTTAAAACCGTTCTCCTTCGTCTGAATTTGCCAGTTTAATTAAAGCATTTGCTGCTGAGCATGTTTCAAAGATGTTTTCGTTGTGTCACATGCTGGAGGCCACAACACAACATGTATTTCTATATCATTCCTGTGCTGATAAGAATTAAACTGTAGGTTTCAAGTAGATGCTGTCTCAACTAAAGTTAGAGAATTTTTGATTGTTGACCAAGCTTGAATGTAATTAAACCTGTTTTCTGGGTGCCATCGTTTGTCTATGTTTAGGGTGGTGATAGCAACATTATCAACACAGGAATATTAATCTGTTTTTGGCGCATGGTGACGCATGTTTTGAACTAGAAGACACTGTTCTCAGTTTATGGATCTATTTACCCTGGAGGCTTGTGACATGACATCGGTATTGTACCTGAAAGAGGTTGTGAACTCTTGATTATTGGGGACATATTTCTGATGTTGTTTGTAGCAGCTTTACGTCATAGTTGGCTCATTCACTGCAGGCTGTTTTTTCATAATTGTAATCTTAAGACAATATAGGCTTCATTCTTGAGGTGTTTTTTTTATTCATATAGTAAATGATGGCATTTTACTAGGTTATATTTAAACTCAAAGGCTGACTTCACAAAGTTGATTTTGTCACAGTGGTCGCAATTTAATTTGATGTACATCTAATTTGTTTTTCACTTTTCTGTAGACAGCCATAATAAGATCAGATCTATGCCACAAAGGTGCTAAAGCCCAGGTAATCCCAACCAATATGGACGACTGTAGTCTAGTTTATTGAGCTGACATACAGGTGCAGCACAGCCAGTAGGTGCATTACTTTACTGTGTGTTCCCCATCTTAACTGAGTAAATCAAGTGTGAAGTGATTGACACCACTGTTTTATTAGTCTACATTCAACAAGTTCACTCCTGTCACTGTGATTTGTTTGCACATAAAAGGCCAAAGCAGGCACCTGTCTCGTTGATCATATGAAGATTTTGTCTCATAAGGAAATTTTTTTACCTGTGAGTTTTTGACTAAGCAATCATTTTTGATATTTAAAATGGAATAAATTGCTGCTGCTACAAACACTGATAATATACCTTATCAGTTTCTCAAGCTTAACTTTCTAAGAAGTAGTTTTCCTTGTGCACTATCGCCATCTGCTGGAGGAAAATGGGCATGACATATATGTTCTCCCAGTTTTCTTTTAATGTGAGCACTCTTAGTGAAATGCAGTCGCAATTATTCTGCTGATGTGCAGCTGTAATTCTGGCATTTGTATCCTATTTGTGTTTTTGTGTGTCCTTGCTGTAAGAGAGCGAGCATGTACACTGAAAGACCAACTTTATTTATTGCCCTTTTCTGAAATGCTGGTTTAGATGGTGAATAAGGTCTGCTGCTCTAACAAAACAAAATCTGACTCTGTGGTGTCTGTTTAGTCATCTTCAATTATACATTAATTTAAGATAAGTAATAATTCTGTTACTTGAAAAATGTTTGACTCCATATAATGTGTGTTTGTGACATAACATATAGGTTAAAAGTTGAGACCCAAATGCACATATACATGTAAATCTTCTGTTGGACTAGATATTTTGGAACGGCTCCAGACATTTTTTAAATTTTTATGTTGCAGTAAAGGTAATGCTCATTGATATACATGAAGTTGGGATTGGCCACCACTTAAGGGACAGCATATTTCAGGCTTTAAAACTCATAATGTTTCCCCCAGCTGCCCCTCAAGAGACAAAACTATTGAGGGACCTCCCAGGTTTGTGACTTTCCCCCCTCTGTGGTGCACCCATAGATTCTGGCTCATGTGTCTGTGTCCAATACATGCATTAGACCCCCTCCCCTTTTGATTTTAAATCTGCCCAAATCCTCCCAAACTAGTGTTACTCTGTCCCGCTCAAGAGCTGGAGGGACCAAATACTGACCTGAAGGATCAGAGCAAAGCCTTTGAG